ACCCCCATTCTGCACAGGACACGTAAGCAGCCCTGCTCTGGTGCCAAGTTTCCCGGGATAGACTCTGGGAGACAACAGTAAGCTCTAATGTTCTACTAGTTTTAATTTATGAATACCATGTTTTAGTAATTCTTAATAATTCACTTGGTAGGTTATTAATAAGTAGCCCTTAGGCATATGTAAGTATGAATAACTATGAAGCAAGAAGAACTGAAGAAAGGAGCTGTACTTCTCACAAAGAAGGGTGGAGTGGAAGCCATACTTGGAGAGTGACTGCATGAAGGAGCCCAGGAGAGGAAACTTAACTCTTCAGGACGTGGAAGGGGTAAGAAAAAACTAACATTGAAACATTAAACTGAGGTAATACTAAACATGCCAAGTAAGGTGTTTCAAACCTTCTATTTGATGTGAGACCCATGAAATTATGCCTGGAAACTATCATTTCAAGCAACAAGACAGTTACATGCGGGGCGCCTGGGTGGCTCAGTGGGTTAAAGCCTCTGCCTTCGGCTCAGGTCATGATCCCAGGGTCTTGGGATGGAGCCCCGCATCGGGCTCTCTGCTCAGCGGGGAGCCTGCTTCCCCTCCTCTCTCTCTGCCTGCCTCTGTCTACTTGTGAGCTCTCTCTCTGTCAAATAAATAAATAAAATCTTTAAAAAAAAAAAAAAAAAAAAAGACAGTTACATGCAAGGTTCATTCATTAACAAACTTAAGGAGTGTATCCGTTCTTTGTTTTTTCAAACGCATTCTCCATTTTCAAAAGCTCAGGAAGGGAGAAAGGAGAATATTCTCTAACAGCCAACCACCATTTATAAAATGTTTGCTTCCTTTAGCCTTATATATATCACACAGTTATATACAGTTATCTACAGTTAAATATGCTTTTACATATTTAACCAGCAAAAAAAAAAAAATGGACAAAGAAAAATTTCACAATATGTAACTTTTTTCCTAATCTTATTTCAAAAGCTTTTTTTTTTTTTTTTTTAAGATTCTATTTATTTACTTGACAGAGAGAGAGAGAGTCACAAGGAGGCAGAGAGGCAGGCAGAGAGAGAGCGGGGGAAGCAGGCTCCCCATTGAGCAGAGAGCCCAATGCAGGGCTTGATCCCAGGACCCTGAGATCATGACCTGAGCCGAAGGCAGAGGCTTAACCCACTGAGCCACCCAGGAGCCCCTCAAAAGCTTTTGAAAAGGTGACTTATTGAATAGATAAACCAAAGGGAAAATATTCATTCTTTCACACTCCTAAAATTGTATAAGTCTGCTTCTAATAATTGGGGCCCAAGTTTTAGCACTACTTCCTGACTTCTCTTGTTTTTTAGTTTTCTAAATTGTACACAAGGAAAAAGCTATCCAACCTCAATGGTAAATGCAAAAATGCCAAATATTTGAAGAGAAGCTCAACTGATAGTTTACTACCCTCAAATAACTCTTTGAAATAGATTGCTGGTTCCATTGTGGTTCCCATCTGTGGTGCCTAATGATTTGCCATTTACATTTCAGCCCTGTGACTCTCACATCTATTTTACAAGGCTCTGACCACAACAAAGCAGAAGACTTCCTATTTAAAGTAGTAATAGTCATTACCATCCATAAGAATTCCTAATAATTCCTCAAAGTATAGATATTAGAGTATCAAGGTGAGTTGTATTTTAAAGGATGCAAAGTGACTTCTCACTTCATTAAAAAAAAATTACTTCCCATTATTTTTCTAATTCTTTTTTTAAAAAAAGATTTTATTTACGTATTTGGCAGAGAGAGACACAGCGAGAGAGAGAGAGAGAGAGAGAGAGAGAGAGAATGAATGAATACAAGTAGGGGAGTGGGAGAGGGAGAAGCAGGCTTCCTGCTGAGCAGGGAGCCCGATGTGGGTCTCCATCCCAGGACCCTGGGATCATGACCTGAGCTGAAGGCAGATGGTTAACAACTGAGTCACGCAGGCGCCCCTATTTTTCTAATTCTTTTTTTTTTTTTAAGATTTTATTTATTTATTTGACAGAGAGAGAGATCACAAGTAGGCAGAGAGACAGGCGGGGGTGAAGGGGTGGGGAGCAGGCTCCCCACTGAGCAGGGAGCCCGATGTGGCTCCATCCCAGGACCCTGAGATCATGACCCGAGCGGAAGACAGAGGGTCTAACCCACTGAGCCACCCAGGCGCCCCTATTTTTCTAATTCTTGATAGGCTGACTTAAGCTCATGAGTAGAAACAGACTATTGGAAATGCACTTCAGGAACACACAACAATTTGTTATTCTCTTGCCAAAACATACTTCAGAGCTGTTGTTTTTCCTGATTCACTACTGAATAACAAAGTTTTACACACAATGCTAAGCTCTTATTTCTCCTTGATTTTTGGCCAACTTACTAAGGGAAAAGTCATCTTGTTGACAAATCAGAAAAAAGTCCACAGAGAGTATGCTGGATCACTTCCTAATCAATAACTTAAAAATAACCATGGAGTACAGAAATAATGAAGGGTTCTAAAAAACAGTAAAAGCAGGACACAGGCATTACGCATATATCCTGAGAAATCAGAAAGCTTATAAAATCACCAGAGTGCACTTTTTTTTTAAGACCCATGGAATATAAAATTAGAAAAACAGGAAATGCAAGCCAGTTTTTTGTTAAAAAAAGAAAAGCAAAGAAACCAAACTTCAAAAATCACCAATTACCCAACATTTGGAAAACCAGCTCTAAAAATGCCACTAACCAAACATTAGGAAAATGTCATACTTGGACACAATTATCCTATAACCTCATAGGGGGAGCTACAAAGAAAGATGTCATTCCAGGAAATGCAAATTCTATATATGGTGAGAAATAGCGAACCGCCATGTAAGAGAATTTTAAAAGCAATTATCTAACGTGCTCATAACCCATATTTTGAAGCCAGCAGAGAGCACAGAAAGGCTTAATATTCAAAAAAGGTCTCATCTACAAAATCACAACTGAGAGAGGAAGCATGATATTCACTACAGTCAAAGGTCATAATCCTCACTACATGTAGACACCCAAAGGCTACACATACACACACACACACACACATTCTCTCACATACACGGAAAAAGGGGAAGTAGTTTATAATATTGAGATCAAATTTCAGCCGTCAGAGAAAAACTTTCTGGAGGAAAAGATTATATTATAGTGCTACCTCTTGCCAGCACCATCGGAAGTTCAAAGTAAATTAAAACTCTGGGAGCAAAAACCGGAAATCCCTCCACTCCCATCCAAGCAGGGGCTGAAACCACGGGTTTAGACCATAATATGACCTAGAAAGCCTGGAACCTTGAGGTTTTCAGTATAATATGGCTCCCAGCACCCTAGGTGATCAGCAATTGTATTAATGCTGATCCCTTACATCTACACACTGCTTTACATTTTAGACAGTGCTTTCACTTTTATTCCTCAATCCTTCTGGTGGTAGAATCACAGTACTTTACTTTCGCACAGCTTGTAGTTTGGACAAGTATCTTCACACACTGCGCTATTATTTTACAGAAGAGACCCAAGAGATTAAGTTACTCGTCTATGAACGTGTACGTGGTAGGTGAGGGGCCTGGACCACTGCGGGACTCTATTCAGTCACAGACACTTCCAACCTTTTAAAGTTCAAAGTACAACACTCCAGAGGGAGCAGCCTCATTCAGACCGCTCTATAGGATAGAACTGGACAGTCCCAGTGTACCATCTCTGCCCCGCTCTCCCGCTCCAGAGACAGGGAAACCGAGGCACCAGGTAGGAACAAAAGCCTCCTCTAGAGTCACGCAAGGACTGATGCTGGGATAGACTCCCCCGCCCACCCACTCACCCACCTGCACTACACCCAGAAACAGCTAAATCCTGTGTTTAAGACACAGGTCGGGCTCCAGAGAGGAAAACCCTTGCAGTTACCGCTTCCCTCTCACTACTCCCCACCCGGGCTTTCCTACAGATGGTGGTCTCTGCTTTCCAGAACCGCTCAGCGACAACCTCTCCCTAGGGCCCTTACCTATTTTTCACATCGGGCCTCCGGAGTAAAAGAATCCGCTAGCTCTGGCTCCCACTCCTAGTCCCTTTCTCTAAGGTATCTCTCGACCCCAAGGCATTTCTGTCTCCCAGAGGAAGGTCCGACTCCAACCCGAGCCACCTAAACCTTAAACTCCACAAAAGAAAACCCTCCCAACGCCTCCTCCAGTTACCCCTTCCGTCCAGGACACTCCCGAGGAGGACCCCTAAATATCAGGAGCCTCCCAAGAGCTACCTGCCTCTCACCTGGGCCCCTTTAGCCGCGGCCTCCTCGGAAGGGCGACCCCCCAAAACCTCCGCCGATCACGCACCCCCTAAAGGGGGAACACCCTCTTCCAGGTACCTCTTCAAGCGCCTTCAGCTACGGGCCTCAGCGGAGAACCTCCGGGCTGCTTCCTGGGCTCTGCCCAACGCCGCTCCCTCCCGGGCCCCTTCCTGGAGTCTCCTCCGGCACCAGTCGGGTCTCTCCGCCGCAGACCTGGGCGTCTGTTCCCCTCCCTCACGGACGTCCCCAGGTCTCCGACTCCCCCCGGCTCCGCGTCCCCAGTGGTTTCCCAAGAGCAGCGCGGCCGGGCTACGGCACTGACTTCTCCAGCTCCAGGGCCCACCCGAGGGAGGGGGCGGCGGCGGCGCGCGACTCCTTTGTGACAGGTCCGAGAGAGCGGTAAAGATGGACGCGAGGCCACGGCGCTGCCATTACGCGCTGGGGCCCACCCCCGCTTCGCACCGCCCCTGCCCTCCCTCGGTCCCCTAGGAAACGCCCCTTCCTCGGTGGCAAGCCCTCTCGCTTACAGCCAGTCGTTTTTCGGGGAAGTTACCACGTGATCACACGGGGCGACCCGCCCCTCAAGCGCGAGGTGGCCAATCCCCTTGCTGAGGTGCGAATGGCCCAATCAAGTCTCTCGGGCTAGCTTTCGGGACACCGGATTTCCATCTGTCTCCTGGGGAGGAAGAGGGGTGCGGATTGGGTTACGCCGCCGGAAGCGGGGCGGAACTTTGTTGTGGCGGTGAGGAAGAGGAAGCCCTGAAGGGTCAAAAGGAATACAAAAGCAAAGGCTATTTTCTTTCTTTTCTTTTTTTCTTTCTCTCTCTCTCTTTTTTTTGTCCTAAAGAGAGAGCGGTCTTAGCGGTGGCTTAGGGGTGGGCGTCGCCGAGGTGAGGGGGTCTCGCCTCCCGCACGCTGGTAGGTGAGTGCGGCCTGGGCCCTACCTAGCTTGGCTTAGAGACCTGGGCTCCAGCTTCTTCGCTGAGGAGATGGGGGGCTACGTTTAATGTGAGGTTTAGGGTGAAGCCGGTTCTCAGTCTGAGCACTCGCCGAGTGCTCTGAGTCACTGGGGCCAGGGGCTTGCTGGGGTCCGCCTAAGTGGAGCCGAGGGAGCCCGCGGGAGGGCCTCCCCAGTCGTGTGGGGAAGCATCCCGACCCTTTCTAGCGGTCTGGGGACTTCGGGCCTCTTGTCGGCTCTCCACCGTTTCTGCCAGGTGGGAACACCCAGGCTCCAAGGGAGGAGCGGGCTCTCTCGCAGGGGTCTTGGGAGGGCTCCAGGCGACTCAGGCGATGTGGGAGTGACTGGCTGGAAATCTTTGAATCACAGAACGCAAGTGTAGGATGGGAAACACACTTACTATGTACGGTGTACCATTTGCTGTGCTCAGTGCATTTTCTTCTAATAGATACCAAGCCAGCATACTCGTTTTGCAAAAGAAAACTTAGGAAACTAAGACCGAGGGTTGAAGTATGTTGTTTGAGAGTTGTTTGCCCACGTGAATGTCTGTGCACACAGGTGTAAATGTGGAGACCTACTCGTTCAGAGCAGTGGTTCTTAATCTAGTAGAAAACAAGATTTTTCTGCAGCCCGTTTAAATGCAGATTCTCCGACCCTACCCCCAGATAGTTTGACTGAGTAGGTCTGGAGTTGGGACAGGGGAAGCCAAGGGCGGGCCTGGTGGTCAGAATTCCCAATTACCTCTGTGAGGTAAGGTTTGTTCGTTCTTCAGCTGTTTGGCTTGTTGATGTGCTAACAGGGACCCCATAAAATGGTTTGGAGGGCACTGCTTCTGAAATCCTTGAATCTGTTTATACTCCTTTTTGATGCAAGGAATTGAACTGAAATAAAGACAGCTTTTACAGTCTTTCAAATAGAGCACAAGACAGTTGTGTTGACAGTTTTTAGGGGTCTGCAAGCAAAGGCCAGCCAATTATTTTTCTCAGCTGAAGTGTTGTTGCCTTAATCCCTTACAATCAGGAGGAGCTGTGTCAAGACCATTCACCTGGCTAGCAGTCTTCCCTTTCTCCATCTAAGAATCTTGGTGTTTGGTTAGAGTGAAGCTGTTGCCTCAGATATTGAAAACCACATAGCTGGTAAGCGAAGTAATTGTAGTGTGTGGTTCCGCCATAGGCTCCATCATATTGTAATTATGCCTCTGGGGCAGCGGAATTAAACAACTTAGTCTGCTCACTATTGATCACCTTCTGAAAATGCTTTGTCTTCAATTCTTAAGTATGGTCAGTTTCACTTGTTATTGTAGAATGTGTTTTAGAGATTGTTTTTGGTTTTTGGTTTTCTGCATTTTCATGATGCAACTGTGGATGTGTTTTTGTTGGATTTGGTGTTTATCAGACCTTGAATGAGTGGATTAGTGTCTTTCATTAGTTCTGTAAAATTCTCGGCGAGTTTATATTCATATGTTGCTTATGCCCCATTATATATCGCCTTTGCTGATTTAACACAGAGCCTTTCACTCTAATGTCTGTGCTTCTTTTTTTTTTTTTTTTAAGATTTTATTTATTTGACAGAGATCATAAGTAGGCAGAGAGGCAGGCAGAGAGGGAAGGGGTGAAGCTGGCTCCCTGCTGAGCAGAGAGCCGGATGTGGGGCTCCATCCCAGGACTCCGGGATCATGACCTGAGCTGAAGGCAGAGGCTTTAACCCACTGAGCCACCCAGGCACCCCTAATGTCTGTGTTTCTTACTCCCTTTTTATTTTTCCATACTACATCCTGGATAACTTCTTCTTCATTAAATCTCAGTTTATTTCTAATCTGTTATTACACTGAAATCTTAAATTCAGTTAGTGCGTTTTTTGGTTTCTGAGGTTCTATTTGGTCCTTTTTCAAATGTGCCATGCCACTATTTTACAGTTTCTTATTCACTGCTGTTAATTTTGAGGCCTGGTTTTTATTCTTTAAACACAGTAAGCGTTGTTTTATAATCTATGTGTGCCAGTTCCACTGTGTGAATTCCCTTTGGGTTTATTTCTTTTGCTCATTATTCCTGCTTTTTTTTCTTCCCACTTCACCTTTACTTTGATGGTTTAGTTCTTTGGGGTATTGGGTTAAGATGGAGAAGGTTGCAGACTCTGCACCTTTTGTGAACTCCTGGCTTTGATTTTTGTTTCTGTTGCTTCACAAGGGCCTCAGAACAGCAGTTTTCAAAGTCATTGTCAGAGAAATCCTCAGTATGAAAGCAAGTTTGAATATTGGGCTTAATTTCTGGTATCATCTTTTCTTGGGTTTTGGCCATATTTTTTACTATCTGGTTAATTTCTGTGTTTAAGAATTATTTAAAAATTTCTTCCAGATTTTGTTTTTATCATAGAGGTAGAGGATTGGTCTCAACTACCTAGCCCACTGTTTCTGGAAATGAAAGCCCCCCACCTTTTTAAGATTTTTTGTTTATTTGACAGAAAGAGAGATCACAAGTAGGCAGAGTGGCAGGCAGAGAGAGAGGGGGAAGCAGGCTCCCTGTTGAGCAGAGAGCCCAATGTGGGGCTCGATCCCAGGACCCTGAGATCATGACCTGAGACGAAGGCAGAGGTTTTAACCCACTGAGCCACCCAGGCACCCCAGAGAGAGCGAATCTTAAGTAGGCCCCAAGCCCAGCGCAGAGCCTGCAGGGCTAGATCCCAGAACCCTGAGATCACCACCTGAGTCTAAGTCAGGAGTCCCACGCTCAACCGACTGAGCTTCCCACGTGCCCCAGCCCCCTTTCATTTTGATTGTTGGAATCTGAAATTTGTGATTTCAGGGAATCTTGAGTTAAAGATCATTTTTCTCTGTATACCTAAAATTTTCACCACTGTTCCCTATGCTAAGTGTCCCAGCCACTGTCAAAGTTAAGCTTCCCTGGTGCTTTTTTTTAGTCTTCCTTCTGTGAACTCCTCAGTGCTTAGCTTCTGTTTATTCTCTTATAGCATTTAACATCATTCTTCTTTTCTCCAAATTGCTTATGCCAACCTTACCTCTTTTTCTGAATGTAAGTTCCTCATTTGCTAAAAAGTAGAGTACCACCTGAGCACCTCGCACTCTGTGCTGCTTGTATTTGATAGGTCACCTGTCAAGATTGACCTCAACGATACAACTGAATGAGTTAGTTGGCCTTGTATGACTTTTGTAATGCAAAGCCTTTTCCCCCTTATATTTGGTCTTAGGAGTTAGACAAAACCTAGTGGCAATTGGAGGTGTGGGGGGAGTAATTTAGTGTGGTTTATGTTCCAAAGCCAGCCTAGCCGGTAAAATAGTGTATAATCAGAGCTACTTTCGAAAATCTTTTTGGGAGGCATCATATTGGATGTAGGTATACCCGCACAGCAAAATTCCAGCATGGCCAGGTTTGTCCTCCAACTTTGAAACAGATGCTGTTTTTCTTTAAGTCTCAGGTGAAGTAGCTGGTTTGCGTTTAGGAGTCATAGTGTTTAAAAAAAAAAAACAAAAAAAACCTAATAGAATTGTACATAATGAAGGAAGTGCATATACACTAAGAGGGTTACATGGACTAGAGAACTGAGGATCAGCTAAGGGGATTGGTATTTTATGTTCTTTTTTTCTTCCAGTGCATATAGATAAATTCAGGGTAATTGCACGTATGATGAGACTGTTCTTGTGCTATGGAAAGCTCATGGTATATATAAATTTATTTAAAAAAATTTTTTTTAATTGTGTGTGTTTTTTTAGATGCCTGGACAACCAGAAGATGACTACAGATTGCTCTTTATAATAAACATTTTTAAATACGAATGAAATCGCATATGCTGTACGCAAATGTTTAGATTCTTTTAGTCTCCTCTGCTTCTGGAGTATGTTTAATAAGCCTTAGTGTTAGATTGAAGATTCCTTTGTCAAGTAATAAATGCTAGTAGTGTTCCCTGTTAGTAGTTGTCATGCTCTGAAGTTTTAAAATGTATAGGGAGGGGCGCCTGGGTGGCTCAGTGGGTTAAGGCCTCTGCCTTTGGCTCGGGTCATGATCTCAGGGTCCTGGGATCGGGCCCTGCATTGGGCTCTCTGCTCAGCGGGGAGCCTGCTTCCCCCCTCTCTCTGCCTGCCTCTCTGCCTACTTGTGATCTGTCTGTCAAATAAATAAAATCTTAAAAAAAAAATGTATAGGGAAAGCCCTCTTGATCTGAATTACTTTGGCCTGGTAGAAGTGACTTCCGGCCAGAAAGCGATCTATTTGGAATAGAGTTGAGTTTGCCAGATGGCAAATTCCTCTTAATTGCTGTCCTGAATTTTGAAGTCCCATGTGACTTAAACATCAGGGTAAAAATGTTGGAAGGGCAATACTTAAGTATATTTACTGATAAAAGGAAAGTAGATTGGCCTATTGTTTTGCTACCCAGAGAGAAGCCTTACAACACCATAACACAGAAATCCGATCCCCTCTGGTGTATTTTTATACTACTGTCTGTCTAATGTTAGAATTTGGAGGGAGTAGTGGCCAGTGATGTAAACACTTAAGTAGTCTGCCATCACAGAATTCAGTTCCGTAGGAAGCCAGATCTCATTAACTTGTATCATGGCATTAGGTAAATGGAATAATTTTTCAACTCAGCAATAACAGTTACTTTGGGGGTAGCAGTGTAAGCTTTCTATCTTGTATAGCATGCTGTGTAAGACACTGAGCCTGTTTTGTCCCACCAATCTGGAAATTAAATACCACAGTCTCCAATACAAACACAAGACTGCAGTGTTTAACAGTTACTTTGGCTTGAAATATAAGAACTTTGTTTTTTTTTGGCTGTCAAGCAAATTTGAAAACTATGTTCTTTATTTGTGTCGGTTTGAAACTTTTAAGTTTGGACAAAGTGATTTTAGTATGGTTTTGGTTTTCCATGAGTTCTCTATTTGGAGAAGTTAGATAATCCTTTTATAAAATAATGTAATGTTTAGTCTGATAATTAGACTTGAATTACCT